ATGCTTGGAGGTATTGCAATGCGACATTTATCCTGAATGAAAGACTTTGCTTTGTAAGCTTATTAAAATAGCTGTCATATATCATTTTATGCAACACAAGACAACTGAATTTAGAAGTATAAATGTAATGACGGTCTCAAAACCTACTCACAAAATTCCCTTTCGAGATTGTTAAGCCCACTACTGGTTAGAGTGAAAGTGTGTAATGAATAGATGCAAGGGTGGATTCCAGAAGACAACAACCTCAGTCATAGGACGGACGAAGGTTAAGCACCTTACACCTGAAGCATAGAAGATTACCTTGAAGACAGCCTCGACAATAATGCTCTATGAAAGCGAATTGACAGATGACCAAGAAGAATACGCTGTCGTCTTCTGGAACGATCGATCTCGAAATGGAAGTGTGCGCTGATCATATATCTGAGAATGAAAGGATAGTATCATGTTGGATGTGAGCCTTGAAGCAGCAAGCTTCAGAAAGAGATCAGGCACTTTATGCATGTTTTGATGGCATCCAGGTCCGCCTTGATTGGCGTTGGAACTCAAATAAGATGGGAGTACAGCTTTCTATTTAGGACGAATGCAACTGTTCCAAATGCTAATAACACTGAGCTCACCAACTTAAATTGTTGCGAAACATGCTTATCTGAAAGCCTTATAATATCATTCACTCTCCAACTTGATAGTTGTGGTAATGCATTTTGAGCTTATGACGTTCTGTGATTGGTTGTAGCACTTCGCTGTACTAAGATGTCAGAAACACCAATGGGCCAATAGGCCCAAATATGTTAACTTTCCCAAAATTAGCTATAATCAAAGCCTTTTTCTTGAGAATAGTCTATCCCATGTCTTCTTATACCAGAAAGATCGCCAAGAGTGAAGTTGTGACCAGTAATTTGGGATCATTTGACGCAATCTCACTAAAATTTTCTTGGCCATTGCCTAACGGAATAAAAAGGATGCACCAAGGAATGCAGCATATTCCATTATATTGTCATCTAGGCATATTTGAATAAGAAAAATAAGGGCAAATTTTGATTAATGGTAAATCTATTCGTTCAAATAAAAACTTTTATTTCTCACATTTAAGTATTGTTTTGAGACTACCAGTAAATCAGTAATATGAGATGCATTCACCCAATTTCGTTTAAGGTGATGAAGGACTGGTAGAAATTTGGTGATTTACTGGTAGTCTCGAAACAATACTTGAATGCTAAAAATAAAGTTACGTAGTCGATTGTTATAGAAAATATACATTTGCTTCATCGACAATAACACCAAAGAATATGATATGGCAAATGGCCCGGTTAACGTGGCAAGCTCCCATTCTGCACTGTCACGGTTCGATTCCCGCTGGGGGTGTTGATAAGACCGATGCGAAGTCGAAAGTGCAGTCCATTTCAGCCTGGATGGGAACAACTTTTGGGAAGACAAGGCAATGTGAAATTGAATGAAAACGTTAGCTCTACTCATATGCTTGTGGGAAAATTCTTCTACCAGCCCTTCATCACATCATAAAAACTTTTATCCCTTAGCTGTAAGATTGTGTATTATGCAATAATCTATTTCCCATTTCAATTCACAACGTTAATTATTTTCTAGATAAGTAGGCTTTTTTGAGGCTATCAGCTATACTTTTCTAAGAGCTGAGTCCTCCTGTCATCTGAGCCGATTTACAGATTCATAGTTGATTTAGACAAGGCTAAGTTTAATCAAAGATATGAAGACCAAGATGGTGTGACCTTTTGTGTGGTCGCAGTCTCCTTTCCTTGTATAGTAGTAGTTTGACCTTGTTTTCCCAACTTGGTCAAATTGGTAGGAAGACTTAGAGAAACACACCTATTCCGGAGTCCACTGTATGCATGATCATTTCCAGAGTCAGACAGTGGAATGTACCACGTCCACGGTCCGACTCTGGAAATGATCATGCATACAGTGGACTCCGGAATAGGTGTGTTTCTCTAAGTCTTCCTACCATTATGACGAAGTTGCGAAAACAAAGTCAGGCGACTTCCTGATAATTCTTCCTTCCAGCATCAGACAAGCAGCAAAGTTATTCTGTCCAGAAGTCTTGAACGAGGCTGCTGGGATACTGAACTCACGCCTCTTATTCATGTGATTGGCCCATGGCAGACCAGCTGCATATGCCGAGGCCTAAGAGTAGTATTCACTAACTATGGCAAATAACCCATTTCCCTTATTCAGCATTATCTCAGGCCAGCAGACTATCGCTGGTCTGGCTTATTTCGGCGAGCTAATTAAGCCTGAAAAATATTAGTGATCGGCATACCTGCTGAGTTGTATGCCGGGATCAGAGCTGGACAACCGCAGCACTCTGTTTATTCTACAGATAACATGCAAAGCTCATACTTACTCTATGCGCCCAACTGTCCAGCTTCACATTGGGTCGAGTCTACGGGAGTTCCACCATCTGTTGGCCGAGCTGAGTCGTTTGACAAGTGTACAAATCGCAGGTGGCCTTATCGTCTGGAAAAGGAATAGTTATGGGCAGATAAACGGTTGGAGCAGCGGTTTGGCCAGTGCATGCGTCAATCGAGACACTGGCTGGTGCCTGAATACCGCCAGTAGGGTCTAAAGTTTAGTATTTCTCTCAGGCGGCAAGCCGCGCCCGTTGACGTTTACAAAGAGAAATTGACAGAAAACTGTTTTAGCTAAATCCTGGTTTGCACTGATTAACAATTATTGCCCTCGCAAGCAGTCGACGATGTCAAGGGAGCAAACAATCGAGTGAGAAAACAGGTCACCTTAGCTTCATCAGACTCCGACCTGTGGAAACAGTTGAGGCTGAATCTCATGGTACAGCTTCAAGGCTCCAGCCTTGCCGGTTGGACCGGCGTGCCGAGACGAAGGTGTGATGAACCTTTTTAAAGGGGAGATTTGCCCCAACCAATAACTACTTGATTCATATCAGCTTGTTGGTGTTCGGAGGCAAACGTATTACGTAAATCAAATCATTTGTATCCCTAGGCCGGAAATTCGGCTTCTGGCTAAAAGGATCTTCCATTAGTTCCTCCTAGTAGGACATGTGTCTATGTGCTAGGTTTATATGAGTTACTTTCTTAGGGCCTTCTTGTCCGCATAGTCTACAATTTATTTTCGATATGAGTAGTTTTCGAGACTATTTGTAAGTCTTGACTACTGACTTAGCCATCCTAGGCCAGTTAAGATTATTTAAGGACTGCTAGTTGAGGTTTTCCACCATGTCATTGTTAGGCATTATACTATCATTGCATTTAATTTATCTCTGCCCCAAAAGGCTTTTACCACCGTTTAGACCAGGCTTGGGTTGCAGCAATATCCCCAATGGGATTTGATATTGTGCTTTAGGTATATTAGAGATAATATTACTTAATTGTGCTCCATGGCAACGGATGCCAGTGGGCCAGAGAGTAAATGAGATATTCAAGACAATCAAGGTCTCTGAGAACTCACATTTAAGGTGGGATTGTAAATTAAGCAAATAAGTGTCGACGACATTACAGATTTTCGTTCTGAGTAGTTTTCGATACTGTCACTAATTCTTGCATTCCAGGTATAACGTATATAAAGAAAATGAGTAGTGTTGTCAAAAAACGAAAAAAAAGTAGAACAACTGCTGTCTAGACTCTGAAGATCCACATATCAATGTAGAAAAAGTAAATATGTAAAATGTATGTATAAAGGGCATGGAAGGACTCGCAGGCATGCCTGTAACCGGTAGACCAGTATACTGAGATTTGATGTATAAGAATGGTAAAAGTGCCACGACCCAATGATGCTATGAGTCCGCCCGGACAAATAAAGTCCTAGCAATATATGAAATGTATTCATTCTATTTCGTTTAAGGTTATGAGAGACGGGTAGTGGAATTTCCCAACAATGATATGAGTAGAACTGAATTTCACATACGCTTCTTTTCCCAACAGGTGCTCTCATCCAGGGTAAACTGCAATTTTTACCAGTTCTAGGTCTTATCAGCACCCTAAGTGGGACTCGATCCATGCCAATGCAGCGTATATTCTCGACACGTTGAGCCCTACGTCACATTGCCATGACTGCAATTAGATCACAGGGCAAATGAGAATTACCAGTTAGTATAGAAATCCTATTTATAAACTAAAAATAAGTAATGTAGTTGATTGTTATAGCAAACATAACTTTTCTTTATCGACGATCCCACCAAAGATGATATGGGAAAACACCTGGAATTCCTTGAAATTTACATATACCAGTAAATCAGTTGTATGAGGTGTATTCACTCTATTTCGTTTAAGGTGATGAAGGACTGGTGGTTGAATTTTCCTACAATTTTATGAGTAAAGTTGACATTCCCACTGAATTTCAAAAAGTCCTGCTTTCCCCAAAGGTGTTCTCATCCAGAATGGACTGCAGTTTCGACCTCGCATAAGTCATATCACCACCTCCAGCACGACTCTAACCATGAACAACCAGTGTGTAATCTAAACACGTTAACGGCTATGCCACATTGCCAAGAGTGCCCCTGGGTCACAGGACAGATATGAATTTTAAGGAAGACTAGGCATTTTTCCATAAGAATGGTTTTGAGATATATTCACCCTATTTCGTTTAAGGTGTTGAATTTTCGCACAATTATATGAGTAGAGCTGATGTTTCCATTGAATTAGTTCGACTTCAGCTGTGGTTAGTGATAAGACTTAGGCGAGGTCAAGGCTGCAATCCACCCTGGCTGAGAACACCTTCTGGGAAAGCAAGACTATGTGAAATTCAATAGAAGCGTCAGCTCTACTCATATGATTGTGTAAAATTCAATCACTAGTTCGTCATCGCCTTCAACGAAATAGACTGAATACATCTAATATAACTACTTCAGTTACATACTTTGGGGTTTCATAGGTACACCTAACGGGATTGTCGTTGTGACCTGACGAATTCATGATGAGCTTGACCTGAGTAGAATCCCTAATGCATGGTATCTTGACCTGACCGGTTTTACTGGAATCAAATATTGCTGAGAACTATTAGGAATCTTACAAGGGTTCGAAAAAGTAGGATAGTAATAATTCTTTGGTTAGAAATAATAGCGATCCTCAGCTTATCGCAATTTCGTTTTTCTCCTTCGATTCATTCGGGATGGGAGATTCCTTATAGGATTATCCTAAGGTTTCATCGCCAGTTTCATTCAGATTATTCTTCAGAGTAGATAAGCTCAGATGAGTTCGTTGACCAGCCGGATTGCAAAGCCTGCAAGCATTTGAGCATTCCACTGACAAGCAAACTGTCGCTCTAGCGTCAGATTATTAGTTTGGATAAAAAATTGGAATACATCGAATCGCCTAGTAGTTCCAACTCGACCATTAGTTCGATTCAACCATTCAATTTGTGTGAAATGTTGACCGCACTGGAAACGTTGAGATTGTCATAGTTAATGTGATCGTCCTGGATGTACTCTAAGAGACTTTTGATCTACATTACGAGGAAACAGATCAAAGCAGAAACAATTCAGCTATCACAATGCACAAGTCAACAAATGTAAGGCTCGACAATAGACTGTAGCTTAAGATTAACAGGCGGGGGGAATATAGTTTCATGAGGCAAATTTACTTGTGGATATGATCATTTGAATAAGTGGTTGATGAAAATTTGCATTTTTGGGCGCATTCTTTTAGGCTGGCGGCATACCGATTCCTTTACTGGCATAACGTGAGGAATAAGTCAGGGGATGTTAAAGTGAGTCATAGGAATGTGCCAGGTATCTATTCTCGAAATAAACAAGTAACTCTTCTT